CTCACATGCGTGAGGCACTGGGTTTGATGCTCAGCACCGCATTAAAAAAACTAATAAATAAAATATATTGTGTCCATCTACTTTTTAAAAAGATATTATTTAAATGATATAAGAAAAAATGTTCAACATCTCTAGCAACTAGGGAAATGCAAATAAAAATCACATTGAAATTTCATCTCTAGTCATAATGGCAATTATCAATATAAACAATAAAAAGTATTTGGTGAGGATGTGGGGAAAAGGGTACACTCATACATTGTTGGTGGGACTGCAAATTGGTGCAACCACTCTGGAAGGCAGTATGGAGATTCCTCAGAAAACTAGAAATGGAACCACCTTATGACCCAGCTATTCCACTCCTTGCTATATATCTCTAAGATCTAAAATTAGAATACTGTAGGAATGCAGCCACATCAATGTTTATATCAGCACAATTCACAATAACCAGACTATGGAACCTATCTAGGTGCCCTTCAACAGATGGATAAAGAAAAATGTGATACATATACACAATAGAGTATTACTCTATGAAAAAGAATGAAATTATGTCGTTTCATCAAATGGTAAATGGAAGGAACTGGAGACTAGACTACTAAGTAAAATAAGTCAGATTCAGAAAGTCAAGGGTTGAATGTTTTCTCTGATATGCAGAAGCTAATCTAAAGTTGGAGGGAAGAGAGAAAATAAAAGGGGGGCAATGTCATAAGAGAAAGATCAGAGGAATAGAAAAAGGGGATTGATGGGGAAAGAAGAGGGACGGGATAAGGGGAAACATGGAATGAGTCTGACCTAACTTTCCCATGTACATATATGAATATACGACAGTGAATCCCACCACTTTTTAAATCCACAGACACCAATTCTTAAAAAAAAAAAAAAAAAAAAAGGTAAGTAAATAGATCAGCAGAGGAAAGGAAACAGGGAAGGAGGAGGGGATGGGTAAATACTGGGAACTTAATTGGAGCAAACTATACTGCATGCATTTATGATTATGTCAAAATAAATCCTAATGTATAACCTATGAACCAATTTTTTAAATTTTTTTAAAAAATGTTATTTGAAGCATTGCTACTAATAGCAGAAATACTAAGTATTCAAAGTGTCCATTAATGAGGATCTGATTAAAGAAATTGTAGAGCATGTATTCTTGGCATTAAAAAGGAGGTTGGTCTACAGGAACTAAGAACAATTGGAACCAAAAAGTGAGCCTCGGGAACAACGTGAACAGAATGTTACTATTTGCATTTTAAATAGAACATGTAGGACAGGCAGCAATCTGGGAAAGCTGAGGCAGGAAGATCACAAGTTCTAGGCCAGCCTGAGCAAATTAGTTAGAGCTTGTCTCAAAAAATAAAGATGGGGGCACTGGGGTAGTTGCTCAGTGGTTAGGGCGCTTGTCTAGCACGTGTGAGGCACTGGGTTCGATCCTCAGCACCACATAAAAATAAATAAAATAAAGGTATTGGTCTAACTACAACTAAAATATATAATATATGTAAAGATGGGGAATGTAGCAGTAGGCCCTGGATCCATTCCAGCAATGCAAAAATAAACATTAATAAATGGTATATGTCACTGGACTTGGGCATAAAAGCCTGTACATCCAACTACTCAGAGCTTGAAGCTGGGGACCACCTGAGTCAGGAATCACTGCCGTCTAGGCAATGTAGCATGACCCTGTCTCAAAAACATAAAAAGGCATATGTGCAAATATGCTTGCATAAGAACATATTAAGACTGATTACAGGGATTGTCTGAAGAAGGACCTTGAAAGACTAAGGGTTATGAGAGAGAAGACTTCCACATTTTGTATATATTATTTTTCACTTTAAAACTTCTTATTTTGAAATAATTTTGAGTTTCCAAGATAAAGTTCCCATATACCCTTGACCCAGTTTAACATCTTGTAAATCCCTGATAACGTCTGTAAGAACCAAGAAATGAACACTGGTACAATATTATAAATGAAACTACAGACTTGACTCAGTTGAGGGCTGTTCCTATGGATCTTGTGCCCCAGGATATAGCCTGGATGTCTCAGAGCACTTACTGAACATACTTTCCAACTGCTTAAATTTTATCCTGAGCATGAAAATCTAATCATTTTTCCTGAGCATGAGTTACTTTTAAAAGCCTAAACATTTTTTAAAAACTAAATGTGCATGGGTGCACTGGAGGATCCCTGTAAGCCCAGCAGCTCAGGAGGCTGAGGCAAAAAGATCATATGCTGAGAGCCATAGCCACGAGTCCGAATGATGCATGGCATTTTTGCCAGAACGGAGTGGTTGAGAGGTGACGCCAGCAAGCCATTGAGATGATAATGGTTATGTTAAGCTGTGTATATTAGACCCCTGCTGTCCGCCTCCGGCCGCTACTTTGGAGTTCTCCTGAGGATTCCCGGAGAGTTCCCATTGGTTGGGGAAGGGCCGGGAGAGGGATTTCCGGTTGGTGTGTGGGGTGTCCCGAGAGAAGGCCTCGTGCGTGGCGTTCGCAGGAGTGTGGAGAATAAAGGAGTTCCTGTTTTGAACCTACAAGGCTGTGTGGCAGCTCGGTTATTTTGTGCCCAGCCAGACTGTGGCAGTCATAAGTTATTTTGACATAGAGTCTAAGTTGCTGAGGGTCTTGCTGTTGAGCTGACCTTGAACTTGTGATCCTCCTGCCTCAACCCCCCAATTCAATGGAATTGTAGATGTGTGCCATTGCACCTGGCTCATATCTCCTAGTTTTTAAAGGCCAAAACCAAATGAAACAGCCATAGGCTGGAAGAAACACTTAGGCTTAAATAGAAAAACAAACAAACATAAGGCAAAATGAAACCACCACAAACTATGATTTAGGTCTTTTTTATTTGGGTGGCCCTGGAGGGTCGGGGGAGGTCTAAAGATGCTTCAACAATTTAACACGTGCATCTTGTGTTTTCCATTTTTAATTAATCTATATATTTTTTGCCTTTCGTAGTATTTTGATGAATTGGTGATTACATGTAATTTCTTGGAGTGTACCTTCATGATAATCAGAATGAAGATGGGAGTGGGTAAAAGAACCAAGCTTACAAATGGTTACTTTTGGAAATTTGTACCTGTAGTGTTTCAGGCTGAATTAAACCCATAAATTAACCCTTAACAACAGCGGGGATAGGAGGGAATGGATTAAATTTAAAAAAAAAAAATACTAAAAGATGACTCATGGACCGGAATTGTGGCTCAGTGGTAGAGCGCTTGCCTAGCATGCATGAGGCAGCAGGTTCGATCCCTGGAACCACATAAAAATACAGAAATAAAATGAAAGTATCATAAGTATCGTGTCCATCTACAACTAAATATATATATTCATGATTATCTTTAAAAATAATTTTATCCTTTTAAACATTTATTTCTAACAAAATGTTGTCAAAGTATCCATATTATATGAACATTATGATCATACAAATGGGTTTTTGTTTTGTACCATGAGCTGAACCCGGGGGGTGTCTTACCACTGAGCCACATTTCCAACTCTTTCTTAAATATTGAGACAGGGTCTCACTAGGTTGCTTAGGGCATCACTGTTGCTGAGGCTGAACCTGAACTTGTGATCCTCCTGCCTCAGCCTCCTGAGTGGCAGGGATTATAGGTGCGCCTCTGCACCCTGCTTGTCCCAGTCTTCACAGAGCATCTGTTTGAAAAGCCTCCCACTCTTTGGGAAAACGGCACATCAGGAGCTCTGCCCTCCCCACTGTAGACATCGGGGCTCAACCCAGCTGGGATTAGGAATGTGACTTGGCTCTGCTGACCAGGTAAACACGGAGCAACTCTCGTCAAAAAGGTCTGTGGCAGAAAGATGCTGAGTCTTCTAAGAGAGGAGGGGCTGGTTCAAGTAAGATTAACGATGGCATGGACGCAGTTTCCTCTAGTGCTCGATGGGGCAGTGCAGTTTGTTCTTCTGGGCCCAGTTCTACACATGGTTTTGGATCATCATTCCTGGAAGTACAGCTTCAAGTCTGTTCCCAAAAGTCTCAAGAGCACCTCCCAACACTTTTAAAAACCCTTTCCCCACTTAATTAGCTTAACAGTCAGCTTCTGTTGCCTGGGCCCACTGACAATCAGGTTTGCAGGAACAGCCACAACAGACAGGAGTTAGGACAGGAATCTGTTTCCAGATCTGCATTAGTCGGCTTCCCCTGAACAACAGGTAAGAGGCAAAAGCTGGCCACCTTTGTGCTCCACTCCAGGTCTCAGGCACTCAGTGAGGCCTCCAGAGGAGCAGTCAAAAGTGACCTGTTCCATGGGCTGGGGATGTGGCTCAAGCGGTAGCGTGCATGCGTGCGGCCCAGGTTCCATCCTCAGCACCACATACAAATATTAAAATTCTCTCTTTTTTTTTAAAAAAAAAAAAGTGACCTGTTCCAACCTCTTGACAAAGACTATACCTGTTCAAAGAATGAGTTACAATGTTCCACGGTTAAAGTGATGACTATTCTAATTCTGAATGTGATTCTTAAACAATATCACCCTTTCATAATAACAAGACTCTGTACCAGCAGTTGCAAATTGGTGTATAAACCTGGCCTGTGTTAAGTGTGTAAGACTTTTGTCCTGCAACAATGTTTTTAAACTTTTTTTAAAAAAAGTATATTTATTGCCAGAGATACAGAGAGTTCACATTACATCTGTGATTTCTGCTCTTAAAACAAAACAAACAAAAAAATCTGATTATGGCCTGCCTTCAACAAGCAGATGGAGGGTTGAAGCCCCCCTTTGACAGGCCATGTGTTCTTCAGCTGGCCACTGATATACAAGAGTATACCAAATTTTTACTTTTAATTTTGTTGTATACATTGTAAGCTGGGTATGATCTGCCTTTCATTAAAAATAATTTTAATAAGTAAACAAACATAAAACACCTACATTGTACACTGTTACAAAATACTAGAATAAATCAAAACAGAAAAGGCAGATAGAGGGGGAGGGGTGAAAAGAGGGCCTGGATTAGAAGATTTCAAAGCAAACCAAACAATAATATAGTTTTATTAAACATTTATTTCTGTAGGATATATTCTATTATTTGAAGTAGAAATAAGACCCAAATAATATCTTATTAACAATAAACCGACACCAAATATATCATCTGTGATCAACTCAGTAAGACTAAGTATACATCTTAATTCTAGATGTATGATTTAGAGTTTTGATTTAAAGAGGTGGAAAAATGCAAGTGAGGCAAAAGTAAAACAAAATCCTATCACATTATATCTGATGTTCAAGGCATCCTCTAAATGCTGAAAACTCAAGAAAGTTCTCAGAGAGGGTATTATAATCCATTAATATCACATTACAACCAAAAAGCTCCTTATAAAAAGGAGGTTGTGTAGTCATATAAAGAATACTGGATTCTTCTCTATATTATTGGAAGGATGTAAATAAATATATCTTTGAGGTATGACAACGGTCACTTCAGTACTGTGGAAATGACCCATCGATTTTGGCAGCCCAGGCCATGAGTCCCCCCACCACATCCTGAACCATTAAAGAGTCTAACTCTTGGGCTGCTGTTAAGGACTGCAGGATCCTCACGGCTTTCTGGGAGTCATTTCCTAGTTTGCAAATCACATAAATGGAGAGTGCAGCCCCTTCTTGAATACGCTGCTTCCCTTCCTGGATTGCTTCTCCCAGGAGTTTCAGGCTTTCCGCATCCCTCCGTTCTAAATGTTTCAAAGGGATGTGAAGGGCGTGAGGCAAACGACAGATGTCCACCTCCACTTTAGGCCTGACATCCAGCAATAAATGGGGTTCCCCAGAATCCAGAAGTCGCTTATAGTCAGTGACAGAAACACGCTCCTCTGGGCTCAGAACCCGCAGGGAACGGCACTTATCGGTAGCTGAAGAGCCACAGAAGGCCTCATAGTCCTGCAGGTCGGTAACAGTGGGGCGCTCCCCACAAGCTGCACAGTCGGGCCTGCGCCTCCGCAGCCGAATACAGCGGAAATGCCCTCCGAGAGCGTCAAAGAGCAACAGACTGCCACTGTAGGAGGGACCCAGGCCTGCAGCGATCTTCAGCACCTCCAGCGCCTGCAGGCAGCCCAGGACCCCAGTTACCACACCGAGCACCCCACCATCTGCACAGTTGGTCACCGTCTCTGCTGGGGGTGGCTGGGGGAACACGCAGCGATAGCAAGGCCCACCGTCATAGTGGTAAACTGTGATTTGACCCTCGAAGCGCAGGGCGCTGGCCGACACAAGAGGACGGCCGGCCAGCACGCAGGCGTCATTAACCAGATAACGAGTGGGCACGTTGTCGGAGCAGTCGGCCACCACGTCGTACCGGCGGACCAGGTCTAGGGCCGTGGCTGGGGTAAGCGCTTGAGCATAGGGCACGCACTCCACCGCCGAATTGAGGCGGCGCAGCGAGGCGGCAGCAGAAAAGGCTTTGGCCTGTCCGGCCAGTGCCTCGCCATGCAGCACTTGGCGGGCTAGGTTGCTCATCTCTACCACGTCGTAGTCCACCAGGCCAAGGCGGCCCACGCCGGCTGCGGCCAGGTACTGCGCCAGCGGGCAGCCGAGTCCACCGCAGCCCACGATGAGCACCGACGCGGCAGCCAGGCGCAGCTGTCCGTGCACGCCCAGCTCTGGCAGTACTAGCTGCCGGCTATAGCGCAGAATCTCTTCTCGGGACAGGGCGGCCTTGGGCGGCAGCGGCGACACCGGAACCAGCCGTTCTGGCTCAGGTTCTTGTTCTGCCAAAAGAGCTGCCGCCAGCCGCTGCTTCAGAGAACTCAGCTCCTCCTCACGCCGGGCAACTTCAGCCTGTAAGGCGAGCACCTGCTCAGGGGCAGCCATGGCGACCTCCTCCGGATATGGTCCTGAGAAGCACTTCCGTATCCGGCTTACTGTCTCCTAGCGACTGGAATAAACTAAAACAACTTCATAAACTTGAGTAGAGGCGACAAATAGGTAGGCATTTCCTGAAGAAGTCTTCCGACTCAATTTAAAAGGTTCACAAATCCTGCCTACTTCCAACTGAACCACGCACAAGGCCTGGAAGAAGTGCAATTCAGTCACACAGGCCACCCACCTCTTCCGCGATTTGGTACGTTCCGCGCCGCGTGACGTAATTCCGCCTCCGGCGTCCTGCGCTGTTCCGCCATGGCCTCCGTGGAGTCGCGTCGGAGTCCTGCCAGCTCTCGGCAGGAGCCGGAGGGGCGCTCCCGAAGCCAGGACAAGTACTCGGTGCTCTTACCCACCTACAACGAGCGCGAGAACCTGCCGCTCATCGTGTGGCTGCTGGTGAAGAGCTTCTCCGAGAGGTAGCGCGCCCGACCTTCCTCCCCGAGGAACGGGATGAGCTGACTCCGCCGGCCTGGGTGGCGGCGGTTGGCTGCGCGAGGCGGCCCTGCCAGCCTTCCCCGGGCTCACGCAGGCAGCCTCGAGGAGGAGGCCACCCCGCGAGGAAGGAAAGACCGACACTTGCCGAGTGTTCTCGTGTCCTGGTTCTCGGTCCAGCTCCCGGGTGTTGTGAGACGCTCGCGGTCCTGGTGACGAACGTCTTCTCCTCCGCTCGCCGCTTTTTTCTTAAAAGGCTGACCCCCCACTTTTACCTGGGGCGCAGCTGAAAGCCTGAGCCGCCCCCTCGGTGGTCATGGCCGCCGCCGGAGCCGGGGCCCGAGCGGGCGCCCTCCTCCCCGCCCCGGCGCCGAGGGCTTATGTAAGCGTGAGGTTGGGCCCGTGGGGTAGGGAACCGCCGCGGGCGGGATCGCCTTTCCGCAGAGGAGCGAGCAGGGCGGCCTCGGCGAGCCCTGTGGGGTGTTTGGTGGGGTTTCTAGAAAGGAGGATTTTGGAGTTTGAATTTCGAAGTGTTGTGCGATTAAAAAAAAAAAAAGAGAGAATCTTGGCGGCTCAGAGTAATTTGTATGACGGTTAGACAAATGCGATCATGCTGCGAAAATCTGTAAACGTTTTTCCATGGCAACACGTACAATCGTAGCAAATTATTTTTGAAAAGTTAGGCGATAGCACTATGGCTATGTTATCATTTATTTACCCGGGTCATGTCAGTAACCAAATTATTTCCAGAGGTTTGGTTTTTGTTTTGGCTTTTGCTTTACAATCAGCCAACCTGAGCATTACCAGATTTACGTTGTTGTAAACCCTTGGTGGAAACCATTGCTGATTTGATCGTATTTCTTGGAATAACTATCTGCACGTTTAAGGCTCCTCAAAATTTAACTCGTATCTCTTTTCCACTTTAGATGTATGTGTTTTTAATTCTATTCCGACGCTCTTTCCAGATTAAAAATTAATCATGTAGCCAATCTTGTTCTAGGTTTATAGTCTGATTTTCATCACACGTACAGGTATATGTGCGTACATGTCAGTGGGTATATTATGAAGTTCAATTTATTCTAATTTTTTTTTTAAATGGGAGTGCTGGGAATTGAACTCAGGAACACTCTACTACTGAGCCACATCGCCAGCCTTATATTGTATTTTATAGGGCTCATTGAGTTGCTTAGCACCTTGCTTTTGCTGAGGCTGGCTTGGAACTGGCGATCCTCCTGCCTCAGCCTCCCCAGCAGAGCAGTTGAGATTACTGTCGCCCCTACACAGTTTATTTATTATAATTTTTGTAATGGTTTCTGGGCATGCTTTTAAAAATCAAAATGTAGTTTAGTGAAGGAAACCATTTTGTAGGTGCAGATTACGTTGTCACCTCAGCTTTATTTACGCTGCCTCACCTTAAGGTGACTTGGCTGATTTGAACACGGAGAATTTTGCTTATGAATAACTCCATTTTGTTTGAGAGAGATACTTCTTTTAGCATTCTACTAGAATGCTCATCTTACTGTTTGGGGTGTTAAAAGTTGTTCCCAAAGTTAAGAGCTCAGTGGGAAAGCGAAGTAGCCATACCTATAGGGGAATAGATTGGCTGTTTTATATTTTAAGTTTGCTGGGGCTGGCTTTTTTAGGCCTTTAGCAGTGGGATGTGTTGTCTGTTTCATTTCTTTGCATATATTGCTTACAGCAAAATCAAGAGGTAGCAGTGTTGTGTTCTTCCTTTCCCCTTTAACTTTGCAATGTCTTTATTAAAGGGGAAGGTGGAGATAGAGGGAAGCAGGGTGGTGATTAAGTATGCATTCACAAAGTATTTATTCACCAAATAAATACTTTGTGTTGGCTCGTTTTTTAAATAGAAAAGAAACTATCATGTGAAGTTAATAGAAAGTAACAGATATTAATGTTGAAGCACAGTAAAATCTCTTATAAATCTACTGTGCTTTTTTTTTTTTTTTTATTTTGTAGTGTGAGTTAATGGGTCCTACTGTTTGAAACAGGCATTTAAAAGATTGTGAACACTATTCTAAACATTTTTTAAGAGTGAAATTAAGTCAGATTTATTCCTGATATTTAAATCTGCTTGTATTAAACTAAAAAGCATAATCTCAAAATACTCAATTTGTTTTGAGTTGACACTTAAAGTACTTTTGAAACATTTTACATACCTAAGATTTGATATTAAGATTCCAAGTTTTCACTTGGAAAGTAGGTAAATAAAATTTCATGGGATATCATATGTGATATGTATGTATGATACGTGTATATAAGATTTTCTAACTAAAGTGTATTTTTTCTGTGTAAGAATTTTTTGGTATCTTGGGTCATCCTAATAGCATTTTCCAGCAATTTACTAGGTTTGGAGGTGAAGTATTAAATGTTTGGCATTTATTTAATTTGATACTTGAAGTTTTCTTTAGTGACTAATATGGCAGTAAGTCTTCACTTATACTAGTGAGAAATCAATTATTAAATTATTTTTAAATTTGAAAAATTCTCCAAACATTAATACAAATTCAAATTTTTAAATTTTAGTGGAATCAACTATGAAATTATAATCATAGATGATGGAAGTCCAGATGGAACAAAGGATGTTGCTGAACAGTTGGAAAAGATCTATGGATCCGACAAAATTGTAAGTTACATGAGCATTTTTATGTCATATGAATTATGTTTGTATATGGAAAAGATGACAAATGAACAATGCTCAAATATAATCTATTTGCCTAGAAGTGAAAAGAAAAAGAACAACTTATGCCCTTGAGAATGAAATGCTTTTTCATTCTGCTTAAAATTTTACATATCATTGCTGTGTTGCGTTAGTGATAATTTTATAGCAAAAGAGTGAGCTTTAGGATGAATACTTTTTTTTCATCTTTTTAATAGTTGTAGATGAACAGAATGCCTTTATTTTATTTATTCATTCATTCATTTTTTATGTGCCTCACATATGGTAGGCAAGTGCTCTACCACTGAGCTACAGCCCCAGCCCCTGAATGAATGCTGTTTTTGTGACTGATTACTGCAATGAGCTTTCTTTGGCAAAATTAAAACATGTTGTTGAATTGACAAGTAATATCAAAGAATCAAGTTGCAATTTGTGTGAGTCTTTCTTTGCCCTTTCTCTGGGTACTCATTCTTTAGTAGAGAATGCTATTTGCAGGTAGGTGATTATAGGTTAGAAAGGTGACTATTTATATGTGGAACATAAATAACTTCAGAACACTTATCATTTTAATTTTTATATTTTAACATATTTTGTAATTTTGTATTTTTAGAAAATGTTCTGATAATAAAATGTAATATATTTGTTATTTTAAGACATCAGTTATATTTTAAAACATCAAATAACTATACATTCAAGAGATTTGGTTACTTTAAAATAATTAAACTCTATCCTCAAATACAAAAATATTATATTTAACAAGATTAGTACCCTAACCAAATAATTACCTAACCAGATAATTCATAAAATAAGAGCTATAAATGACCAGTCAATGTGGGGGAAAAAAATGAGCCTCACTAAGAATTGCACAATAGAAGAGTATAATTAGCCTTTCTTAGTGGAAGGTTTCTTTTCTATTTTTTTTTTTTAAACTAGTGTTTTTTGTTTTTTGTTTTAGTTGTTGATAGACCTTTATTTTATTTATTTATATGTGGTGCTGAGAATCGAACCCAGTGCTTCACACATGCCAGGCAAGTACACTATCGCTGAGCCCCAGCCCCAGTCCTTAAACCAGTGTTTTTGAAAGTATGGTAAATGGTTGGATTCAAATCTATTGATCCTAGAATAGGTTGACATAGTTTTCTGAAATCTCAGCTGGCAATAATGTCATAACCCTCAAAATATTCATACTTTACTTTTGATGGTATTAAAGTATACAGTGGGTTTTAAAACTGCATGTGTTTTTAAATGCAGTCACATGGCTTACTTGGAATATTTTTTACTAATTATCTTTTTTTTTCCAAGATTTCCTCATAAGAATATCTTGCAAAGGTTTCTTGTTGCTCAAATTATAGTATTTCATGAAGTATTTTATTTTATTTAGAAGTAGTTGGACACAGTATCTGTACTTTATTCATTTATTTTTATGTGGTGCTGAGGATCAAACCCAGGGCTTCACACGTGCTAGACGAGTGCGCTACCGCTGAGCCACAACCCCAGCCCCTCATGAAGTATTTTATAAGTAAGCATATTTCACAGAATATGTCCCTGGCACTCTTGCAGGCATTTTACAGGAATTCACTGCTTATTCCTCATTCCAGCCCCGTGATAGAGTTTCGTCGTGCCACTATATGTGTCCAGGATCATGGCTAGTGAGCAGTGTAGCTGAGATTCAAATCAAAGTCTCATGGCTCAAGAGTCCAGGTCCTATCTGCCACTCTATTCTGCCCTACATACAAAGGAGCTGTCAGATTGACGTGAGGAGGCAGAAAAGGATCTGGAGAGTGTGGAGAGGTAGGGTTGGTTAAGGGTTGAAAGTAAAGCACACTAGGTGGAAACAATTTGAGCTTAAACATATTATAAAATGTAAATATTACCTGT